CCCCCGCCCCTCCCCCTCCCTCGCTCCCCCTTTTCTTTGAATTCTCAGGCTCTGAAATGAGCAGCCAGCAAATTATTGCTTTTGAATTAGCAAATTTTATTTTTTTTTTTTTCAAAAGGTAGGCGCACTTTCTGGCGCAAACTCCGCTTACCTGCGTATCTGGTTGCTGGTACCAATGGGACTCCGTTTCTCTCTTTATACATTTGGCCACGATTTTACTGTGCTTGCTAGCTTTTTTTGATAGCCCTTTCTGTTCAGTGCTTTTAAAATGTCCCATTTACATTTTTGATCAATTTTCTGCGATAAATAACTTCAAGATTGGCATGCGTCGTGTACATCCATGGAAATGGGTACCATTCGAGAACGCTGCGCGAAGTGATGGACTTAAATTGTACCACTGGAAGCGCGCCGATAAAGCCGATGACGTTTATCCATTTGCCCGATTTAATAAGGTTTCTGAGTTCTTTTTTTTCCAAAAAAAAAAATTAAATAAGTTATTTTTGACGTTTCGATATGATAGGACACATTTATTTGTCAAATAGGACCTGTGTAAGTTTGCTTAGAAAAATACAATGCAGGATTAGTGCACTAATTTACCGTGTTTCTGAAAGAGAGGCCAAAGCTTAAGGCTACTTATAACAACGACAAAGTTTAACGCAGATTTTTGATTTTTTCGTTTTCCGTGTAAAAATTTGTTTTTATTATGCACTGAATGAAATGTACTTGAAATACCTAACTGCATTAGCTTGGATTTTTTATTGTTAGGTCATCAATATTCCAACATTTACGGACGAAGATTACGACAAATGTTTGATTTCGGCGAAGTGGACCAAGGAAGATACGCTTCATCTGTTCGAGTTATGCCGACGTTTTGATCTGAGGTAATTTTGTTTTGCAGCACCGTACATTGAGCTGTTAGATCTGTTTCTGAGGGAAATTGGGCTGGTTTGACTAAGGCCAGATCTTTTTGTTTGAAAAAAAAGCAAATTTGGCGAAGGAAAGCGTCCAAAAAATACTTGGAAAAGTGTCGATAATAGGCGACAATTAAGCATGAAATTTATTGCAAAATTTCTAAGTATCACAAGCTCAGAAATTCTTGAAACGGTGAATCCGCGAACGGTTCGATATATTGTACTTGATCTTGATTATCCACTGTGGATAATTGTTATAAATTGTTATGTTTAGATGGGTTATCATAGTGGATAGGTGGGAAGGTTCAACGCGTCGTACAATGGAGGAAATGAAGGAGCGCTTTTACAATGCAATAAATGAACTGAATGCCATGAGAAATGAGAAGGCCGAAGTGTTCTGTTACGATGCTGAACATGAAAAGCGACGCAAGGAGCAATTGATCAAGCAGTGGAATCGCACTGAGCAACAAGTGGGTTTAGCTTTGGAATCGATGTTAAATTGGGCAAAAGGAAAGTGATACGGATAGCTTTTCATTCCAATAAATGGGGGGAAAGAAGTCTGGAGACCAGCGTCAGGGTAAACAATAGCAGAACAATCTCCAAGTAATGAAGTTCCAGTCGCAGCAGTTTTGAAAGGGATCAGTTTCATTGATACCTTCATGAGACACTGTGATGAAAGGATAGCCGATTGCAGTGTAGCGAAAGATTTACGTGCTTTTTTATACTTTTTTACACTTTTTTATAGTTTTTTTAATCAATTTATTATACTGTAGGTCGAGGAAGAAGGAATGTTGATTGCGGAATTGAAGAAAATTGAGGTTCGTAAAAGAGAGCGGGAAAGGAAAGCGCAAGATTTGCAGAAGTTGATTACAGCCGGTGAAAGGACGCCAGCCTCGCCAGCAGTTTCGTAAGTGTTTTTTGGCAGAATAAGCTTTTTTGAAGTCGGTGTTTTGTGAATATTCTATTATCATGGTCTAGACTGTAGTACGCTTTGCGATTGATAATGTGTTTTTCACTTAACTAGGAATTTATGACAATTTTACGTGGCAATTTTACCAGTCCGGCTTGAGACCTGTCTCTGTGGCGGAGTTCATACTTCTGAGGATTTTAATAGTCTTAAAGCCTAGCGCGTTTTTTTCCTCAACAATTGCCATGGAGAAGTGCGAGAAGACTATTAAAAATTAAGCGGAAGAAGCGCACAGTCGGTGAAAAAGATGCTATTTAGGAAGAGTGATGGGGGCAGTGGGGAGATGAAGAGCAGAAGCGGGAACTGCCTGAACAATTGGTGATGAAAGAGTAGAATAGAAGGGATTGAACTAAGTGTCATGTGTAAAAAAATTGGTTTGAATACAGTCTCTGTTTCATCCCTTAGCTGTAAACATGAAAATTTCAGTCGAAGCAACCATTTAGAAAATGTTGGATACACTGTTGTTATGTAGTTGTGCCGTCATGAAAAGGCAACGAAATGAAGTGTCAGAAATAAGGTCCCGAAAGGTAGTATTTTCTAATTTCCTAATTTGCATAAAGTGACATTTGGATGGGTTTCAGAATAGCGCCAGTTCAGACAACTTCAAATATAAAGAAAAGTCATAAATCTCGATCGCAGAAAGCTTCTTCTGTGCCGACGCCGGTGACAAGCGCCACCTACATACAAGTAGAATTTTTACTACTTTTTAATGCTAACTCTACTTTCTAAGGCATTATTTGCACTAGCAACGAAGATTATGTGCTCATTTGTTTCAGGACCATGCGAATATTCGATTTCCAGAATTTCGCAGTGGTGGTGCGCATTTGCGAAGCCAGGAAATGAAATTACCAACAAATATTGGGCAGAAGAAGTTGAAAAATATAGAAACTGTTATCGAAAAGCTCAAACTTGGTAACCGCTTTACTACCCTTAAATACAGGTTTATCACCCAGGGATTAGCCCTTCGCAGTCAGCTGTTGCGGATGCCCAGCTGATAATGTGCCAGGACACAAATCGGAGCGTGATTTGCTTCTAACTGATCCTGTATATTTGAAAAGCATCGCAAACTCGAAGAGTTGTTTTTGGTTGGATTCCGTTTAGAGAGAGATTTTAACAATTTTGGTTTTCTTTTTTCCTCAGATTTGGTCAGTAGTAGTTCACTGTTTTTCGTATTACGTGCGTTTCTTTTATTTTGATTCAGTAAATTAGTTCTCATTCCTTCTGCTCAAGTTCTGTTTTGAGAAAATTCGATTGTGAGACTTTTTAAAATGCAACAGAGATGAATAATTCGAAATCTATTTCATTGTATCCAATAGTTTTTGATTAATTTGGTTTTTTTTGTTTGGATAATTCTTTCAAAATATTCTCGTTGTAGCCTAGATTTTTCTCCTTTTTTGAAGATATGGTACCATTTGGTGTAGCCGATATCGTAAAAGGTTACAATGAATTTCGGGCGCGTATTGTGCTGCTGCAAGAATTGAAACATTCATTGCATTCAGCCGAGTATGAACTGGAATCGCTCAGGACGCGCTATAATTCTTTAACCGGAAAGGTCAGTTTGTGTGCTTGCCTCATGCATATTCCAGTTTTCCAAATGTTGTTGCTGAAGACATCAAATTCCGTGAAAACAACAAATCTCATGCCTGTGTTAAGAATTGTTCTAGTTCAGAAAATTTCCGTTTTGAAAAACACCAAAAGAAATCCGCTTGGCATTTTGATTTTTTCTTGATGCTGAAGCATCAGTCAATTGCAGATACTGAATTGCTACCAAATATCTACATGTTTTTTAAAGCTTTTGAGCATTGCTTCTATTTGTCTTGCATGTTTCCGAATATTCATTTTGATTTTTTTATCAGCCATCTAAACAGCGGATCAGAATTTCTTTGATGAAAACATAACAGCTTCTTGGCTTGTTTGCCGACACTTTTTTTTTCAATTTTGGTAGTTTTCCAGACTTTCGAAATTGAGCCACGAATGCGAGTACGTACATCAAGTGAATCGAACGCGGATTCATCGAATGCGGTTGTGGGTACAGAAGGAGCACCAGCTACAAACCGAGCAATTACAGATATGATTGAGCTGATCACTTCAATCCCTCAAACGGTACGGCATCGGCTCATTCTTGGACTTCATTTTGCCTGCTCTCTACAATTTGTTCTTTGGTTTTTTTTTTTTCGAGGTAAATTGGCGTATTCCAGTCAAATCCATTGCCGTCTTGCTTCTAGGCAATCCTTGAAAGAGGGAGCCATCGACAGCCTTGCCAGCGGATGGTTGCCCATGGCATTTGCTACCACTGAAACTGCTTTACCGAATGCTTCTACTTTTCATCAGTGCCTCTACATGCGGAACGATCCCTCCGGATATCGAGGGGCCGTCCCGCTTCTTACGATTCTTTAGTCTAAGATCTTTGCACTGCTTTTTCTTGCAGATGAGGAAACGAAAAGGGCCGTCTTCATCGACTTCGCCATCGCCAGTGGATACGAGCAGGAGGCTTCGCAAAAACTGAATGTTGTTTTGTTCGTTGCTCGGAGTGCAGTTGGCTTTCTTGGCCATTCAAGCGAAATCGAAGGAATGTTCTCAGTTGTGGCCCATCACTCACCATCTACTACTGTATACAGGAACGTGACGGCGGATACGAAATCCGTTTGCTAGCAGCTGCGCTCGAGATGGCAGACTGGCAGTTTCGTTTTGAAGTGCTTTGTTTTTTTGCTTTCGGTTCTCCCTCCTCGCCCCTTCATTTTTCCTTTTTCCTCATCCCTCCCCCTCATTTCCCAGTCCTGCCATCCCCTTCCTTCACATGGTTTAGATGGTATTTCAAAGAATCAAATATTTGCTCTCGAGTGTTTTTTTGCGTTCAATTCAGGAAGTGCGCTGTCTTTGTGCCTCGTCTCTGTGTATATAGAGGTGTGGCTGATGCCCGTTGCCAGTCTCTGCTCTCTTTGCTGCAATTGTTTTTGGATTATTTCGGAAATTGGCAAATTTTGTATCATATTTTTTTTTTGTTGCATAAATAAACGTAGAAAACACTGTTGAATAAAAAATACTGCATAAAAAAAAAAGCACGCTGAAGCATAGTTGATAAACCCTGAAGAAAAAAATCCGATAAAAAGCACCGATCAAAAAAGTCGCCCACATTTTAAAAACCTCTTATCACTGATACCTCTGTAGAAGACGGAGTAGTCGGCACCAGCGCGAATAACATTAGAGTGTCTAAAATG